TAAAAAGGTTATGGTTTAGGTCAGTACAGAAGTCTAACATTTTGGACGTGTAAAATGGACCACAACTTTTGAGTGACATTGAATTGAATCCCTATCAGTACGACAGGGAGCATAAATATAGAGCGAATGCAACCGGTCAAAAACAAAATGTAACATTTGTGCCGGACTGTATGGCATTATTACAAAAAATGGTTTTGGGCCTAAGGGGGGTTTGCAATATATTATAGTGTTGTACTGTATCACATGGTCGGCCCCGCACGACTTTAGCCTTTGTTTACTTGTTTTTTATTTAAGCCTTTTCGAAGTCATACAAGATACTTTAAAGCAATCTCATTTGGTACAAGAGGTACAAATGCCTCCATCATATTTGTGGGAAATCGATAAAGTTGGATATGTCTCCCACATATTAGTTCCCTCCGATTCTAAATTATACGGGGTGAGATAAAAAAGCTGCAACAAAGTCAAACACCATAATTTTTACATTTTTTTAAATTTTGTTGAATGAAAGCAAAAAATGTCGGAAATAGCATCTCACTTTAGAATAAGTTTAGTTTTGTTCGAATTGGTCACTTTTGGCACGAATTATGGCCTTCAAACGGCCAATGAAACCGTCACACGCTGCCCGAATGTTCCTCTCGGCGAAACGCTTGCTTGATGTGATCGAAACTTTGGTATTTTTTAGTGCCAACCTTGCTTTCTAAAATACTCCAGACACAATAGTCAAACGGATTGGTATCCGGCCATTGTGAGCTGCAACCTCATTTTGTAACCATTCTTGCGTGGTGCGTGCTTAGTGCAATGGTGCTGAGTCCTGTTGGGATGTCCAAGGTCTGCGGCCAAAATGTTTGCCTGCCCAAGGCTTTAATACACTCTCCAGAATATTTTCGCGATAATATTCTGCATTTATTCTGATGCGGTGGTCGATTGATACGAGCGGAGAGCGCCCATCGGCTGTTATGGCGGCCCACACCATCACCATGGCCGGCGCTTGAGTTCTGGTGGCCAGCCGAAGGTGCACATTTTCAGCTGACCTCTTTGGCAAGTAAACACGATCACTTTAGTTTGATTACAAACTGCTGGACAACGAATGTTTTCTCATTGGAGAAAACCAAATTCGGCAGTTCACCACTTTCGGCCAAGCGAAGCAACTCCTTAGGTTTTTTGAGTATATTTTGTTTCAGTTGCGGTGCAAGTTCTTGCACTTTTTGGAATATCAATGGCTTTACCCCGAGCTCATTTTTCAATATTTGCCGAATGGAATATTGCGATATGTTCAGCTCACGAGCCATTTCTTGGCCACTGCGACGCGGGTTTCGATCAAGTTGCTTCTATACTTTTCCAACCATTTCTGCTAATGTTGCTGTTTTCTTCCGTCCACTTCCTTGATGTCGGGCTACGCTACCGTATCACGCTAACGAGCGATGGTACGAGACACAAAAGGTTTATTCACATTTAAATGCTGGAGTGCTCTAACGATAGCCACTTGTTGTGGCCAGATATAAAGAAATCACACTATCTCGCTTGAATTCCATCACGAATAACAGTTTTTTTGGAAAATTCTCACCAAAATGCTTTTGTACGCTTGTAAACAATATAATGAGCTGTCACTGGAATAATGTATATACTTCACAGTATGGTGGAGGGTATAAACTTATTACGAAATAGTGGAATCATTAAGTGAATTAATGCGCAGTACTACTTACGAAGCAGAATCCTTTTGCCATTCCGTTTGTAACTTCTCCAAAACTTAACAATTTAGGTCCCACTAAGTATATATTCTTGATCAGTATAATATTCTATGTCGATTTCTATCTCCTATGACAGAAAATTTTCTGTATAGATCCACGCCTTCCCCTTATAGTGGTACCTCCTTATATTTGGTATTTTGATGGTTTTTGGCTACATTTTTCAACAAAATTATCTCAAACTTAGTATTTAGAGTTCGTAATAGGCACCATCTTTTCTGGCAAATAATTGGCTATATAGATTCGCGTTTTATTATAGTTACATATAACTGTATCGGAAGATTATAGTGTAATTTTTCAACGGATTTTTTAACATTTCGTAAGTTCCTCCCAAATGGTGGAGCGAATTAGAGGTTCGGCACTAAGCTTCTTTTTTACTTATTTATATATGCTATTTTTTATTGCAAGAGAATATCAAAAAACCCTAATTTCTTTCAGGAGAAATCTGTCTAAAATATTTTAAAATAATTTTCGGAGTGGGAGACTTACTCCCACGGGTTTCTTATTTAATTTAAATTTGATATCAAAATTCATTTCGAAATTTATTTATGTATATAAAACTTGAAATCTAAGTGACCTCGCGCGGTTTCTTATCACAGACTTGCAAGATGTATTGTTTGAACGCTTACAATGAAGCTACAATGACATCACTGATTTTATTTAATCTCTTAAGAGGATGAATGGGTAGAATGTTAATTGAAAATAGGATTATAAAGGATTTTCATAAATGCATTCAATTTCACTAATTAGATGCAGTTCAGTTGGCATTAGGGGGTTCAATGAATTAATGATATCTAATGCCATTGTGTGGCAATTGATTATTACTTTTTAGATGGGCCTAAAAAGTTGTGCCCAGGCAAGTGATAAACAATAATCTTTGCAATTGTGGAACAGTCAATGATGTTGTTTTAAGATAACTTTAAAGTATGTCTTCTAAATATGTATATTATATAAAACAAGTGAATTACCTTTCACCATTTAGAACGAATTTGGCTATTCTCAAAAACAATAAAATCCGTTAAAAATTCTGTTAAAATCTTGAAAATACCAAATGTAGCGACGACGTGGACATGCATAGGTAACATTTGTCACAAGCCATTACAATATTCAAATGTAAAACTTAAAAAATCGGCAATATAGGGAGGTACCGTTATATGGGGGCTATACGAAGAGGTGGACCTGCACAGACAATTTTCGGTCTTAGGCTGTACTATCTATTACGAACTTCAAATTCCAAATTTGAAACAATTCCGGCGAATTGAATTCCGCTAAAATGATCAAAATACCGAATAATGGGAGGTACCGTTATATGGGGGCTATACGAAGACGTTGACCTGCACAGACAATCTCCTGTCATAGGCTGTAGCATCCATTAGGAACATCAAATACCAAATTTGAAACAATTGCGGTGAATAATGGCGCTAAAATCATCAAAATACCGAATATCATGAGGTACTGCTATATGGGGGTTATACGAAGACATAGACCTGCACAGACAATTTTCTGTCATAAGTTGTATACTCCGTTACGAACTTTAAATACCAAATTTTAAACAAGTCCGGTGAATAATGTCACTAAAATCATCAAAATACCGAATAATGACAAGTACCGTTATATGGGGGCTATACGAAGACGTGGACCTGCACAGACAATTTTCTGTCTTAAGCTGTAGTCTCCGTTACGAACTTTAAATACCAAATTTGAAACAAGTCCGGTGAATAAATTCGCTAAAATCATCGAAATACCGAATATCGGGAGGTACTGTTATATGGGGGCTATACGAAGACGTGGACCGGCATAGAATTTTATGCAGATCAAGAATATAATACTTTGTGGGGTCTAAAATGTGTATTTCGATGTGTTACAAATGGTATGACAAACTTTATATACCCTCCATACTATGGTGGAGGGTATAAAAGATATCGCATATCCTAATAGCTACTCAATGCTTTTCCTTTAAATCGCCCCATTATACGGTTATAATATCAAAAAATATTGTGTTTTTATTTTGTTTTCCAATACTTTTCAATCCATTTTATATGGCAATAAGTCAGACATAATGACGACCATACACTCAGAAAATTTTAGCTGTGGCGTATAATTGTGAGCCCATTAAATTTCAATGGGTAAAAGCTGGGGTTTTATATCTCACATCTTGGAAAGAGTCCAAACCTCATATAAAATTGTCCAATCCAGTCAGTTCGGAGTGGATAAGTTGTGGCTTTAACATAATTGATACAGCTGTTGTGATTGTAATCTGTCAACCGAGTCAAAGGTGGTTTTTGAAATTTTCTTTCGAGCGTTAAAAAACTACAAACATCGGCATATCATCAAACTTCTTTATAAGGAATTTTAATATACATATTTTCCAAATATTGCAATCCTACTGTTTTTCACTTGAGTGTAGGCACACAGTTTTACTGAATACCGGCCAACACAGCAACAACAACAACAAAAACAATATTTCATGAGAGATAAATACGCTCGAATCAATTTAACAAGCAATAATACTAAGGAAACACTAAAAGAAAATGAAAATAATCAACAGCTACGGCTAATTAAAGCGAAATGCAGAAAATAAACATTGAGCGAGCACAACATAGCCCGCAGGCACACACACACATTCGTTTAGATATTATGAAACTTTGCAATTAAAAATGATAATTTGTTGTTAAATTGATATTTCACACGTAATAATAACAACGATTGTGGAAATCGAGAAAATCAGGCAAAAACGTGAAGATAGAGAAAAAAAATAACATAACAACAGAGGCTTGAACTAAATATATAAATTATCCCATAGTAACCGATGAATGTAAACGTGCAGTGAGTGCATGGCAGGTATGGTAAGTGAAAAAAAAAAACTTGAGATTTAGTTTTCGATATGTGAACAAGATTTGTTAACGATAGAGAAACATTAGTAATCGTGATTAGGTTTATAATTATCTGCAAGATGCAACGGAAATGTAATTGAGTTTAACAGGACCTCAAAAAAGTCTTGAGGAAGATTTTGTAAAATAATAGCTCAGAAAGTTATTACATATGTAAAATATGTCGATAATTTGTATATGTATAGACAGCTTAAAAATGATATATACATCAAGAAGCTTCTCTTTGTATCGAACTTACCAAACGGGTATCGAGACCTCAAAAATGTTTTCTTTGCAAAATAAGTTCTTAATAAACATATGTTTATTACCTTCAAAATGCGTTCTATAAATGAGGACCTCAGAAGGTCTTCTACGTATCGAAGATGTCAAAAAAGTTTTTATGTATATACACTCCCTAAGGATCTTCTACGAACCGAAGCAATCACATATAACTATGTTTTAATAAAACACATTGATGTTGAATTTTAAAATTTTATTCAAAACTCATTATTTTGGTAATAGCCTTAATATTTAACCGATAAATAATTAAGAAACTCTTCTATTTGATGTCTGTTTAAATTCGGCCGGGCTTTGAATAATAGAACGAATTTAGAAATTGTCAAAAACAAAAATAAATGAATAAATAAAAATAGAACCCTTTAAAAATTCTGTTAAAATGCTAAAAAAATACCGAATATAAGTTATACGAACACGTAGACCTGCATAGACATTTTTCTGTCATAGGCTGTAGTACCCATTACGAAATTTGGAACAATTCCGGGGAAATGTGTCTCTAAAATCGTCAAAATTCCGAATATAGGGAGGTACGGTTATGTTGGGGCTATACCTAAACGAAATGGACCTATATATCCTATATTTTTCACCAAAAGCCCTGCAGACCAAACACAAAATTCAGTAAAATGTTATCAACCTACTTCAATTCGTTCGGAAGCTAGAGTGATTTCCACAAGCAGGTAGATTTCCACAGACGGACAGATTTCCAAAAAGAGACAGACCGACGGACGGTCATCTAAAATGTATATTTCGAGGTGTTACAAATGGAATGACGTACTTAATATATCCGTCATACTACGGTGGAGGGTATAATAAAATTATGTTATAAAAGAAACAATAACAAATAGGAAATTATGGAGCATGTGAATATATCAGTTATTATAATAATTTGGGAGTGATAGAGAAATTAGAGAGCACGATAACATCGTAGAGAGAGAGAGAGAGAAAGTTAGACAGCGGGAATATAACAGTAAGTTTCTCAGAGAGCAAGCAAGGAAATTGTATTAAAACGGACATGTTTAAGAAGTTTTGTAGAAAAAGAATAGTAAGTTCAGTAAAATTGTGACAATACGATATGACTTTGGGTCACTTAAGTATGGAAACCCTTTAAAAGGTCTTTCATATATGGAGAGACTCAACCCTTTAATGTATCGAAGATCTCAGAAAGATCTTTTGCGTAGCGTAGACTCAAAAAAGGCCCCAAAGGTCCCACTTATCAAAGGCCTCAAAAATGTCTTCTCTTCGTCTTCTGAGATTTAGTGTCCTTTCACAATTGTCGAAAAGTCGTTTTCATATCCAAATTCAAAAATGTCGATTAAACGTTAAAAATCTGTGTATCGAAGATCTTGAAAGACTCATCTATGTATCGAAGATCACGAAAAGATATAGAAAAGCTCAGAATGATTTTCTATGTATAGACGATCCCAAACTACTTTGAATCAGATATATACCAAAGACCTCTAAAACGAAAAAAAAAAAAATATTTCGGAATAAATTAAAAAAAGGTTTGTAATAAAAAAAAAAATAAAAAAACAAAAAAATAATTATAATTGTGTATTGAAGATATCAAAAGGCTATGAAATCTTACCCAAATTTGCTCGATTTTACTCGCTAGTATGAATGCTCGAAGTGTAGGAGGTTTATATAAAGGTTAATCTCCACTGTTTCCTTTTGTATGGGAGCGCTCGTGCGCTCGGTTTTGCCGATGGGGGTTTCGAAGGAGTGGGTCACTATTGTCAATTTCGTATCTGACCTAAGTCTGATATAAATATTACAACGTATCAGATTGGGACTATATCGACTACTCCTTCAGATAAAAATATTGGTGTGTGCAAAATGTAAAGAAAGCCGAACATCTGTTTCCAATTTTATGCGAATAATAAAAATGTTGAACTTTTTTTGGGGAGGCAACAGTAGGAGTTGGTTAATTAATTCCATGTTCAAATCAGAGCTCAGATCAAGTTTGAACAGGATTTTAGACTTGTATCGCATGTTATGAATTTCAATTTTCAATACTAACAGCCTGTTCCACGATGTCGAAAGAACACATTCGCACAACTTTTACACGACAAACAGCTGATTTCCGTTCCACTAAAATCCATCAGAACGAAAATTTGCACGAAAATCAAAGCGAACGAAAACGTAAGCGTTTCAGTGTAATTTTGCGTTCCACTATCTTTTTTCTTTCGTACGCATGCGAACACAAATGTCAAAATCAGTCACTTGTGTGTTTGCTGTCGAATGATAAAAATTAAGGAAAATTGTTTTAACATAAACATTCCTTGATTGAAAATGGAAAGAAAAATGTAAGTAAAAATAATAAATGCAATTTAATCTGTGAACAACAAATATACATTTTTTTATTTTCTCAATTCCAGCACGAAAAAACTACACAGCTGCGGGCACTAGTTGAGTATATGGGGGAGAATCCTAAGTTCGGCAGAGGAGTGCCAATTTTTGGAAGCAGCAGGCAATCCCATGAAGACCACTGGAAGACACAAACCTAGAAAAAATCATTTTTTTATTATTTCAAAAATGTAAAAATACAATCATACTTACTGGTTGTTAGGTACTTCAAATAAATTCGAAGCATCTCTTAAATGCCTCCGTGGCACAATTTGAACCTCCTCCTCATCATCCATAAAAAATAGGGCTACAGAAATATACATTTTTTTTCTTTTTTAAGAACACAAATAATCTGAACACAATCACTAGAAATTTTATTTTGTTTGTTTATTTACAATTTGTTTGTTTACAACTGAACTGTCAGTTGAGACAGAGCCACTGCTGCTTTTTCGCGTTTAAATTAGACATTTGGCGCTTTTTTTTGCCTTATTTCGCGATTAATTTTGCCAAAAAATATTTTGCAACACTGAATCACGTGAGGCTATGCGAAAGAAAGAACGAAAGTTAGTGGAACGCATTCTTATGCGAAAGTGAGTGAGTAGCCTTCGTTCGCACAAATTTTCTTTCGAGATCGTGGAACAGGCTGTTATAGAAAATTGAAATTCTTTTTAGGGAAGGTACCAGAAGGAGTTGGTTCGTATCTGTAATCGTCACATCAGATCTTGTGTTATTCAAGTCGCGAATTTTAGAAGGAATCGGATGATTGTTTCGCATTTTATGAGAGATCTAATTATTCAAAATTCTTACCTCTTTGTGGGGTAGCTACCAGAACGACTGGGCCAAAACAGATCTTTCGTTAACAAAATATAGCAATAATTATAAAATTTGAAGGGAATCATGTGCATTTTATGAGACAGATTATTATTCAAAATGTTGACCCGTTGTAGGGGAGGTACTTGGTGGAGTGGACCGATATTGTTAATTTTCACACCACACCTAGCGCTGATTCAAATATTAGGATTTGCAAAGTTTGAACAAAATTGGATGAATCTTCCTTGTTCTACTAGCTAAATTATTTTCTATAAAAATGTTGACCTTTTGTGGAGGAGGTACCAGAAGAGGTGGTCCGATGTTGCCTATTTCCGAACTCGATCTAAGTTTGGCAATTATATTATGATACACGAAGTATGGACCAAATCGACAGGAGTCCACGGAACTGCATGAGGAACTAGTTCGTTTCTTCCAGCTAGATTGGAACAACCACAGGTAAAGATTGGCGACAATGTTCTTCAAAGTGTTTGATGTTGTTTAATTTTCAGTTGCGAGGAGAGAAAATACAAATATTTACAAAAAAAAAAACTGTGTGACGAAAACGAAAAGAGTACTCGATAAGAGTGGGACCTTCTCAATTTCGAACGGATTTTACTCTCACTCAAAAACAAGAAAAGCTTTCTGGCTCTTAAGCGAATTGCATAAAAAATATTGTATACTCAATTTCTTCCTTCTTCCGCTCGAATTCGAGTGAGCGTTTTGGAGTTGATCTCTTATTAAGAAGGTTTTGTTTGAAACCTCCAAAAGACCCTCAATATATCGACGACTTTTAAAAAGTTTAAATACAGTCTACGCCACATAACTTTTTTCCAAATACTATAAACAATTTTTTTCAAAACTTTGTTTTGAAAGTACAATCCTTCCTATATAATAATCGAAAAAAATGTAAATGGCTGCCACGGCTGGAATGGTAGTATGCTATCCTATTGGTCTAATTTTTAAGCACATTATCGATTGTGTTCAGCTGCATTTCAGCAGCTTTACGAATATTGTTCTTTTAAGTGTCAACTGTCTCCGTCTTGTCACCGTAACACTTATTTTTGACGACACCCCAGAAATAGGAGCCTAACGGTGTCAAATCGTCGCTCAAAAGTGGACAATCGACATCAGAAGCAGAGCTGATACGGCGATCTCCCAAAACAGGGCGCAAAACATCGAGTGTAGCTTCGGCTGTTTAAGCCAAATGTTGTCAATACCCTTCATTTCAATTTCTGTGAATAAAAATTCGTTTTACATGAGTCGATAACGTAACGGCCACTCCTTCCTCATTTTCGAAGAAGAAAAAGGCCCAAATATGTCTTAAGACCAAAATCCGCATCAAACAGTGAGTCGTTCTGGGAGAATCGGTTTTTTAATGTATGCGTGCTCAAAATGCAACAATTTTGCTTGTTTACATACGAAGCTGACTGTGCTTGTCTTTTTTCAAAATCCGAAGGCAATTTAAGACCTTAAAAAAATGTAATTTACATGTGGAAGAAAGGTTGTCTATATATATCGAGGACTACACACAAGCCTTCCACGAATTAAAAATCTTTAGAGGGTTTTCTATATATTGGAGCCCAAATGCGTAGGTTATTAGGAAAGGTCCTGTGTAGCGAAAATCTTAAAAAGTTCGCTTAAATGTTAAGAACCCTCAAAAACTCGTATGTCTAGTGAAAATCTCACATAGGGGTCCTCCTTAAACATTTTCTGTGCTTTTTTTCTGCAACATTTTTTAGGACCCAATAAGAGTTTTTTTTTTTTTTGGTTTGGTATAGAAAACCCCAAATCCTTTAAATCGACCCATCTTAGTCTCTTACCCTTCGCAAACACACACATGTTCCAATAAAGAATAAAGAATATTACTGCTGTTACTTTTCGTCGCCGTTGAACTTTCCCCATACACACATCTGAATATTATTAAAACTAACCACAAATAATTTAAAAGGAAAACCAAAAAAGTAAAAAATAGAAAAATTGCATGTAATGCCTTTACAGTTCATTGCAAAAAAAAAAAAATAGAAAAAAAGGATTCCAAGTCGTGCCGGCAGCTGACAATATTAAATATGCAGTGGCAACGAGTGTTACGGTTATGCATCGCATTTATTATTCTCTCATACGCGTAACGCGATCGTCATCTATGTTCGCCTGCAACGTCCCCGCAACCGGGGGCATTGTTATAAGAAAATTTGCTAGCTACCTCATTTCCTCCAGCTATCGCTTCGCTTGTTGTTGTTGTTACTGTTGCAACAATGATAACAAAGTTCGCAATATTCAGATGTGAATGGAAAGAAGGAAAATAGAAAACAGTAGCAAACGCATACATAGAAGGACGGACACAGATGCATCTGGACTGAATGATTGTTTGCCGAGTTTGTTGATGTTGTTGTTGTTGTTGGCTGTCGTCCACAAAAGGTAACGGTGGCAAAGAGCGTGAGATGAATTGTGCGTGATATGCAAAGTGAGGCCACTGGATATATTTTTGATACGCCAGTTCGTCGTTCACATGTAGTCTCTCTTCCCCTCCGACCGACCCTAACATGCATGTTTAGCTACTACATGCCGTGCCATGCCATGCCATATGATTGCAACAATTTTCCTGTGAAATTTATGAACATGCAACTCATTGCGAGTTTTGTTCATTTCGGTTTGCAGTTCAATAGCAGAGGATTAAGGTATTGTTAGCTATGAGGAAAAAGTGGACAGATTATTGAAATAATAATCAAATTCGATTAAAAATATTCAAGATTTCGATAACCAAAAGTTTTGTATTATTTTTTCCAAGATAAATTTTTTTTTTTTTTTTTTTTTGAATTTTTGCCCATTTGTATTTGAATAATAATTTGTGTGCAACTGTCGTTTGTCAACAATGGCTGCGAACTTTGTGTGCACAAAACAAATTATATGCGTGTCGGCCAATAAATCAGAGGTTTTTGTTGTAATTTATTTGATATTATAATTATTGTGTTTGCATTAAAAATACATATATGTTTTTTTTATCACACGCTATTGCGTTACAATGTAAATAGTTTAAATCCTAACATTTTCTAAAATTAAATTTTCAGAGCTTTAAAGGGATAGGAAATCGGATGCATTCACTTCAATATTTGACTTACGAAAATGTAAAGGTATTGGAAAAATTTAAACAATCTGAGGGAGAAATGCCAAGAAGATCCTGAAATCAAGAACAATATATATATTTTCAATTTTCATTAACTGACCTGTCTTCTATATCTGAACATTTTGAAATTGTTTCCTAATTTTTGCTCTGTTCCAGAACTGCAAGAATGTAAAAGTTTTTACTACGATAACCGATTTTCCCTTTATGATATCGAAGAAAATCGCAAAAATAGTAGATTCTTGCAGGTATTGGAACAGAGCAATTAAGACCTTTATTTCACTCCTGCTATGATAAGTTTCACTACAGCCATATTTATAATAGTTGGAAGAAATTTATATCTCAATATTGGGAGCCAATAATAAAACATAGCTTATTAAAGTTAGAAAGTTTAAATGCTGTACATGGGGAGTATTTCCCCAATTTTGCATTTTTTTCATAACTCGCTATAGCTCAATTTTCAGCCGACAGAGGCATTTTCTAACCATGCTTTTGTGATTTTTAGAGGAATATTGAGGTTTTGGTTTATTTCTCGAACTATGCTTTTAGTCCAAAATTTAAAATCTTGAGAGAGAGGTATATATCATTTAGTGAGGGTATAAATCATTTAAAACGGCCAAAACGGTTTTAGACCCTAGGTCTCTTTGGACCAAATCCGTTTCAGGACATTTGGAGTCGATCTACCGATGTAAGTCCGTCCGTCCGTCTGTCTGGCTGGTGCGCACGATAACTCTCAAGGGAGTATGCGATTTGACCCAAACTTGGTACATCGTAATACTATTATCAAACTTAGATCCAGTTCGGAGATGGGCAATATCGATCCACTCCTTCTTATACCTCCCCCAAAAAAGATTTCAAGGAAATTAATGTACTGCACAGAAAGGGCAGTGAACTTTGCAAATCCTAATATTTGCACCAATGCTAGATCAGGTGCGAAAATGGACAATGCCGATCCACTCCATCAAGTACCTCCCTCACAAAGGGTCATACATTACAATATTTTTATCAACTCAAGATCTGGTGTGAAGATGGGCAACATCGGTCCACTCCATCTAACGCCTCCCTCAAAAAGTGTCAAAATTTTGAATATTTATAAAGCTCATAAAAGGCGAAATTAACATCTAATTCCATTCAGACTTGGCGCATTTCAATATTTCCATAAAAAACAATATTTGTTATAAAGATGGTAGATATCGGACCACCTGGCACCTTCCCCACAAAGGGTCAAAGTTTTGAATAACCAAACGATAATAAAATTTGAAATAAGCATCCGGCTCTCTTCAAATTACACACATCACAATATTTTTATTAACCCAAGATATCATGTGTCGAATCCGTCTGGTACCTCCCCCACAAAGGTTCAAAATTTTGAGTACCCATGAAGCTCATAAAAAGCGAAATTAACATCTGATTCCATTCCAGACTTGGTACATCTCAATATTTCCATCAACACAAGATCATAAGGGTGGTAGAGATTGTATCATTTCTTCTGGTATCTCCGCCACATATGGTTCAAGATTTTTAAAAACAAAACGCTCAAAGAAAGCGAAATAAGCATCCAACTCTCTTCAAATTTCACACATACAAACATTTTTGCTAACACAAGATCTGTTTGGAAGATAATATATATGTCTGCCTTCCCCTTCTGGTACCTCACCCACAAAGGGTCACAATTTTCAATACTTTTATCTGTCATAATTTGCGAAACAAGTCAGCGATCTTTTACAACTTGCTATATCTCAACATATCTCTCAACCAAAAACCTGAATTTATGATTGCGCATAAAATTGGAAGAAAATGCTCGTTAATGTTTTTATCTGTATTAGTTGAAGCATGAAAATGGAATACTTCGGTGGACTATATCTGAACCTTGCGCATTTTTTAACATTTTCTAAAAATTATCACATATA